CAAGTGATTGCAAAAACCATGGCCTGTATCAGGCGGACCTTAGTCTCCAGAGAGACATCGTTGCTCTTGAGTACTTTAGAGAGGTCCCTAACCGCAGACTTTCCCATCGCAATACGTTTTTTTGATTTCCTGGCTACTGGTGCATATAAGTTAAAAATCACAGTGGGCATTTTTTTGTCATAAAAAAAAAAGAGGTAAGAAGATATCCTAATGGAACAGAGTGAAGTTTATTAAATGGCCTTTTGAGGCACTGATTCTGGGACATAGTTCTATCTTGACATCTTTGCTCATTTATCACTCAATAAATGCTTAGAGAGGAGTGCCACATTTTACAAAGGTACATTGTTTGCCTTTGATGTCTATATTGAAAATCACTTGCAAGTGTTTTTAGTGGTCATTTGATTCCTCAACTCATTGGTTTCACCTTTCCAGATGCAATTGTGCAGCAGATTAATGCCATTTCAAGTTCCAGATACACACACACACATGCACACAGTTACACCCAGAGCAAACAACTTCACATGCTTAGTGAGCATAATGGATGTAGAAAAATATACTGGGAAAACCACAGTGGCAATGAGGATTCAGACTCCAAAGTGTTATGAGCAGCCAGAAAATTGGACCAACACAGGTAAGAAATGAGAAATTTTTAGGGCCATTGAGCACCATGCATTTGCAGTGTTCAGTAGCCCTGAAAATTTCTTATTTAAGCCAGGAAGTCCCTGTCTCATTCCGAATGTTGAAATAAACGGAGCACGCACAGGTTCTATTGATATAATGTCTGTTGACGTAAAAGACTTGCCACTATCCTTTCTATTCCTTGATTCTTTTCCTAGACTGTTACAAAGACTGTAGAGCAGGCATCCACTTTTTTTTTTTTTTCATTTTACTGGTGACTTCACAACACGTTCACTCATCTTATGTGAGTCCAGTCTGAATGAGCCCTCCACTAAGGTAAAGAAAGAGTCCCGCACTTGTTTATTCCCATATCAGATTCCCTTCCTCCTCTTCCATTGCAAAATGATACGTATTTTCATCTCTCTCGAAATATAACTGGAATCCCTTTTGGTTTCTTTCACATTTCTGCCTCATCTGTCTCCCTTCCTTTTGACTTTATGCTAGAAAAAAAGAAAATCTGTGTCGTCTCTGGTCTGAGTCAGGTGTTGCATATTTGCAATTCACTACACGTGTGAGTCTATCACGTTTGACATTAGCATGATCTTATAACTCTTGTTCTGTCATGACTTAAGTTAACCAACTTGGTCACAAAGCAGGAATGTTTATAATTTTGGCTTTTAACTCTCCCTAGACTTTTCGTTGTTGTTGTTGTTGAGATTTTCACTGTCCTAACAGATGAAGAAATCTTGAAAATTAAATAAGACATCAGTGGTAGGTACTTGGTAATGAGAAAATGGGTGCATTTGGAACTGTGTGAGAGAGAATAGGCTTAAGAAAGCTTAGTTATGTTCTTTAAGTTCTCTGATAATCACAGGCTCCATTCTTGCATGTGGGAGCCCTGTATTTCTCATGCATGTGTGAAGATGGCCCTGGATAGGACAAAGTTCAGATCTATTGTTCATAGGGCCACTGTGAGTTGTACTTGACTCA